TGATACACATCTATTGTAATATTTTTGAGGTAACAAGGGTTTTATGTTGCATACATTGGCAAGGAAAACAAAAGTATCAAGTTACAAACATTGGCGTGTGTAGAGTCGCGGTAAATAAAATAGCTCTTACTTAAGTACACACAAATTGACTGTTGGTTTCCACACACACTGCGTATACATTACGGCTGCTATATATAAATGGCGAGAACAATTGATATTACATAATGTGTTCCGATACATGCCACATGTGCTGAATTAGCGGAATTAGTCACGACACTACATTCCCTCGTTTTTTACAGAAGAAAATTAAGGAAAAAGAACTAAGTTTACATGAACGCTTAATAACACACTATGACAGTCACATTTCAAAATGTTCCTCCGACAAAACAAAACAAACTCTTTAAATTATTAACGCCCTAAGTGCCAAAAACAAAGTATCTGAATCCTTTAAGACTCTCTTAACTTCTTAGTGATAACACAAAGTCTCTGAAGCCCACAGGCTTCTTGACAATTCACGATGATCTTCGCACAGCTTGTTGACTTATCAACGGACTTGTTGTCTGCATTTGTCTTTCAGTTTCTCCTCCCTTTTCCGGCAAACTATGAAGAGGCACTAGGCTGTTTCCAGACACTCCTGTCGTTGTTGGTGGGATACCTTTCTCTCTCTGTCCAACTTCCTCTGAAGAACTGTTTTCTTTTCTGTTTGGTCTGGACACACTATCTTGCTCAATGTACTTCTCTATGAATGCAATATTCCCCCTGAATTCCTCTCAAGCCTAGTTTCTGACTGTTACTTCTGTTCCAGTCTTCTGAACCCCTTTGAAAGGACTCGGACGGAAGTTAGTCAAAAGCTTGTTAGACTTTTCCGCTTTCAGTAGCACAGTGTCGCCAATCCATATGGACTTGGGCGTTGCACCTCTACGTGCATCCGCATATGCTTTGCCCTTCAACTTTTTTGACCAATCGCTATCTCGAACTTCTTCTCTCGGCACCTCTACGGTTTCTCTTCTTAACTCCAGCAACTTCGTCCTCATCTCCCGACCAAACATCAGGTACAAGGGTGTGGCACCTGTGGTTGCTTGCAGAGTGGATCGGTATGCCGCCAGCCAAGTAACCAACTCTGTTTGCCAATTTTCCCTTCTAAATTAGCAATCTGAAGAGACTTGAGCAATGAACGGTTCTGGTGTTCGACCTTGCCGTTTGCTTGAGGCCACAGTGGTGTTGTCCTGCGATGCTCAATGCCATGTGCTTGTAGAGATGACTCAAATTCTTTGGACACAACCTGGGGACCATTATCTGTCCTTAGGGAAAACGGAACACCAAATCTGACAAACATAGGGGTGATTGCCTCTATAATCTTGGTACTTGTAGTAGACTTCAAAACAGCAACTTCCAGAAATCTGCTGTAATAATCAACCACCACCAAAACACTCTCTCCAGTGGGTAGGGGTCCTAACAAATCTGTACTGCAGTCTTGCCAAGGAGCACCTGGAGGCAAAACATGAGACATCGGATCAGGTGGGTCACAACCTGAAGTAACTTGACAGCCATGGCAAACCTTGCACAAATTCTCTACATCTTTGTCCATTCCTGGCCACCACATCTTACTTCGAAGCTGATACTTTGTCTTCACCACCTCCTGATGACCCTCATGTGCTGACTACCTTGTCTTGCAAGACCTTGGGTACCAATATCCTTGTACCACGAAGCAAAAGCTCACCTTAGGTGCATAATTCGTCTTTGACGTATGCATACAAAGGAATCGTACACTGTTCCCAGTTCCCAGATTTCACACAGTTCTTCACTAAGCACAGTTCCTTGTCACCGTAAGACACCTCTTCAATCTCCTTCGGTGATAATGCTACAGGCATGCAGCTTTCTACAACGGCTCTGATGAAATCGTACTCCTCACCATGGTCTAATTGTTTCACGGAATTCAAACAAGATAAGGCATCAGCAATGTTTGTCTTCCCAGGCTGTTACACAACTTTAAAGTCGTACCCTTGTAAGCGCAACACCCATCTCTGAATTTGCGCACAAGGCTTTGACGTACGTGAATAGATTCATTCCAAGGGTTTGTGATCCGTTTCTAGCTCAAAGCTTCTTCCGGATAGATACATGTTGAATTGCTCACAGGCCCAAACCAATGCCAATACCTCTTTCTCCATCTGACTGTAGTGCCTCTCCACATCAGTCAAGCTTCTAGATGCATACAAGACAGCCCTCCATGTCCCTCCTTGTTCTTGGGCAAGAACTGCACCTAAACCCACTGGAGACACATCTGCAACGATTCTTTTCCTACAGTCAACCCTGAAGTAACCCAATGTCTCAGCCTGAGTGATAAGGCACTTCAGCTCCTGAAAAGCTGTCTGCTGTTCTTCGCCCCACTTGAAGGTAACACCCTTTCTGGTCAACTCTTGAATGGGCTTGGCTACGGATGCTACATCTGGCATGAACTTTTCTGAATACTGAACCAGACCCATAAAAGATTGTACCTCACTTGCGTCCTTAGGAGGCTGTGCATCTCTAATGGCAGCAACCTTCTCTTTACTTGGGTTAATGCCATCGCTGGTCAGTTCATGACTGAAAAATGTGAGCTTTGACAATGGAAACTTGCACTTCTCTCTGTTCACTGTCAACCCCACTTCACTCAGCCTATCCAATACTGCAAAAAGACATCGGTCATGTTCCTCTATGCCCTTGCCATGAACAGGTCATCTGCAATGTTCGCAGCTCCGGGACAACCCCTCAACACATCTCTGACAATTTGTTGGTATTTCTCCAGTGCCGATGTCACTCCAGACATCAGCCGCTTATAACGATAAAGACCTCAGTGTGTGACGAAAGTAGTGATGTGTTGACCGTCCTCGCTGAGCAGAATCTGATGGAAACCCCATTAGAGATCAGTCTTACTGAACAAGGTACCCCTGCTCAAATCGTGTAAAAGCTCCTCCACTGTCGGAATCGGGTGTCTTTCACAGATGATTGCTTTGTTTGCACGATGCATGTCCACGCACACCCTTATGTCTCCATCGCCCTTAGGAACAACCACCAAAGGTGAGATCGATCCTGAAGGCCCATCTGGTACTTCCTCTATAATTTCGAGCTCCAGATGCTGGTCGAACTTCTTGTCCACCTTCTCCCGTAGCCCAAATGGTATTCTGCATACAGGCTGGGCCACAGGCTTCAAAGACTCATCAATATGGAGTTTAAGCTCGTATCCCTTCAAAAGACGAACACCAGTAAACAAGGCCTTGTATTTCTCTCGGATACAACTCTCAAGTCCTCCACTGTCAACATTGTTCACTTGGAAGGGACCAGTGTGCAAGAGATTGAGAATTTCAGCGGTTTCATGACCCAGAAGCGTCTGACCATCGCCCTTGACCACCACAAAGTCTGCTCTACAACTGCTGTTGTTATCAGTCTGTGTTACATGTGTAGTAAAAGTTCCAAGAGTCAGTAAACATTCCGTATCGCCATAAGCAAAAAGCTCTCTGGCTGACTTGTGTGACTCACAGTTTATTCCTTTCAGTTTTAACATCTCCCAGGTCTGTTGTCCCATCATATTACAAGTAGCTCCAGAATCAATAAGGACATCAGATACAGCTACACCTCCGACTATCAAGGTTATCAAATCCCTACTTTGTCGCTTATGGCCAGTTAACTGCTCCACAGAAAATACAAACTCGGGACTATGCTGAACCGGTCTAGATTCTTTGCTGTGATTCTCGTCAGCCACAAGGTTTGTTTCTTGCGACCTTCCATGACCACAACCACGTCTTCCTCTACCGTCACCACATCTACTCCCAGTATTTCTTCTTCCACCATCAGCACCTTTGCTACCTTTATCCCTTCTGGATCCAGAGTCACCACCACCACGCTGACAAGCCCGGGGACATTTAACTTTGAAATGGCCAATAACACCGCACATTCTGCAAGCTCGGTCAACCGCTGGACACTTCTTGTCTCCACTGAAATGACCTTCTTGATCGCAACTAAAGCATTTCTTTCCTTTCCCAGAACGCGTATTTCCATCCGACTTGTCATCAACTGCATCCACTTGGTCAGTACCGTACTGTTTCAACTGGCGATTAACAGCTACTTGCGACCTCGCAATCCCTAACAAATCATCCAACATTAGAGCTCCCTCCTTTTCCAGGAACTTTCGACGCAACTTGCTTGAATAACACTTGTCAATAACTTGATCACGGATATAATCATTCTTGTTTTCATCGAACTCACAATTGATTGCTCATTGACGAAGCCTACAAACGAACTGATTGACGGTTTCTCCATTTTCCTGCACAATTTGCCAAAACAAATGTCTCTCAAAAGGAATGTTTGCCTTTGGAAACATAGGCACGCAAGGCATGCAAGAGTTACTTTTTTGTGTGAAGCGTTGGAGATAGAAGCATTCATGGTACAGTAATGATTTGGTTGATTTGACAAGTTTTTTTGGTTGCAATGTTACATCGGTCATGGTAAGATAGCTAAATAGTAAGCCATAAAA